AGACAAGGTAAATCCTGCCGCTGTGTCACACCAAAAAATAGATACACAAATAAAGAAAAGCTTACCTTCAGGTTTTTTGTGTCAGCGGAACCCCTAACAGGAACAATGTGCTGCTGTTACTCTGTCGTTGTCCACACAGATGTATAAGCGTTGGAGCTCAGAGGGCCGTGCAGGCCGGAGAGGTCATGATGCCCCCATGATAGCCTATGATGCCCTTCTAGGGGCAGGAAGTGACTGGGCTGAACTGTGTAAACGGGCCATGTTCCATGGAGGTGAGGACCACAGCATTCTGCACCTGCAAGACACATAAAACATACAGCCTGCTCACCGTGATCTCTGTGCAAATGCTTTCTGTAGGTGAGAGTGAAGCCACAGGCCTGATCGCAGGTTGTCTCTACGGCCTCCTTTTTGGCCTGGGCCAGGTCCCCCCAGGCCTGTACCAGGATTTGGACAAAAGAGAGCATCTGGAGGAGCTGGGAGAAGCGCTTTACAAAGCAGCTTCTGCAGAGAAGTGCATAGACAAGTAATGCTGCTCAACACCGGCCTGAACCCTACTGGCTATCAGAGGAACTGCACGTGGCTGTAAAACTGCCTCCCTTTGTCCTACACTACCCTCTAGTCCTTCTTGGTAGCGCCTCAGTAGTCTTGCGTGGCATCCTGTCCTCTCCTCACCTCTCTTGCCTTACTCTCCCTGATTTTGCAATACACAGATCTGTAATGAATTAGAAAAGTTAAAGCACCTGTCACTGTATGTGTAAGGTGGAGGCAAATCAAAAGGAAGACCATTTATGGAATAACGTTTCAGCCTTTGTCTGGTCCCATATGAATGCTCTTCTGTGAGATCATCTCTTCGGAACTACATCTGCAATCAGTTTGCAGAAATGTTATGTGCTGTTGACGGCAGGGAGGAATAACTTGTTACTCCACCTAATATTATTATTAATATTGAACTGTGGGGAAAAGAAAACTCTTTGGCCTTTATAACTTTCACAACTTCAATATTTTACCTTTTACAACTTTTACAACTAATGAACTAGTTAACTTCTCAAAATTAACAAACAAAAGATAATTCCCTTTTCTGACCTTTTTCCTTGTCCGAACCTGCATTAACATGAAGCGCATAGTTATATGTTGTGTCAGTGAGTGTCTATTCATCAAAATCTGCATAAAACATTGTCCACAAGTTTGATAAAGCCTAACTGATTTTAAGATACTCCTCTCTCCACAATTTTTCTGTTTTATCTGAAAATAAATTACCTTAAGATAATCTGCATAATTAATGTAATGGCTTTCATTCTACATCAATTTTGGCTTTTTAATGCATTTAATGATTTTAACTTGTATGCATACTATTATTGAGTTGTAGTAAACATTTGATTTTATACTGTGATTAATTATTATTTACACTGTGATGCACCCATCAGGTATAGTGTATTATGTTGTGAAAGCACCATTAAATGGTGGATATTATTATGATATGAACATTAAAATGGACTATATATATATATATATATATATATATATATATATATATATATATATATATATATATGTCACGCTGGAAGTGCCTGTCTCTTTATCTACTACAACTACAACATTTATTCTGAAGGACAGCTTGCCTCCTATCTTATACCTATCTACCAGATTTCCTCTTCTTACTACAGAACCTTCCTCTACAATCCCCTACTAATCACCTGTAACAAGTTCACACTGCTAGAACTCTTCACTTCAAGTCTGAACATTTGCTCTCTTCTGCTTTGCTGCAGAAGTACACAAATATCAAAAGGGTAGAACATAAAAAGAGATTGGAGATTACTCGACTTGAGTAGTTTTCTATGGTGACTGTGAGCAAAATTCACTATGCTTAAAAATGGTTAAAAGAGAGTTAAAGCCAAACTTAATCAAATATTCCCCCATTTATGGTACAAATAGTGTACTTAAGCAAGAGTTAACCCCAAATTGTTTGTCATGATAGTGCAGGTTCAAGAGTATTACAATTTTTTGTGTCACTACGACTGCATGAAAAACATTAGTTTTAGCACCAAGTTTGGGAACTAATAAGGTGTGGTACCATTGTTTCATTCTTTCCTAAAGTAGAGTACAATACTTCTAGCTGCATCTACCTACATACTTAAAAGAGCTGTATGTGACATTAACTGCCACTAAATGTCACAGCACCAGCATCTCAGACCAAATCAAATGGGTGCTACGGCCCACCAGACTCCATTGAGAAAAACTGAAATTGTACCTTGCGGATTAAACACACTTCATTCAAACATCTTTGTTAGTCTTTCTACTGTTACATCAATCACCAGCCCTTGATTAATTGAAATAAATCCTTAATTCACAGTGTTAGATGAGAAAAGAAACAGCCATTGTACGCTTTTTCACAGCTGTTTCACAACAAGGGACTTACTTGCACTAACATGCATGCACTGCCAGATTGGCTACCAAAACAAAGAACAATCCAAATACTTGTTTTCTGCTACATTAATGGTCAGGATTTCATATACAGAACCTTTAAAATAGTGCAAAAACATGAAAAAGCTACTCCAGGGTTTGGGCACAATGTTTTTGCTAGGCTTACCCTTCTGTTAAAACTGAGTGGGAATGTAATTTTAAGTTCAGATCAAACAATGTTGACCTCCACAATCGCTGCACATTTTCTGCGTGCGGGAAACATTGTAATTAGCTACATTGAAGACAGTGTTTTTAATCAGTGGCCATCCATTCCGACATGTAATTACACAATCTCCTCACCAGTATGCATCCAGCACTGACACTATTTTCATGTAATAGTAAATTTAATTAATTAATTACCAACCAGCCTTCAACTGTGCTGTCAATGTCGATAACTATTCAGGTATGCTTAGCTGCAGGTGGCTACAGGGATTAAGTTTTGCATTTCCTCTATTCTCCATAGACCAGATTCTCGGAAAACCAGCATCAGCCCTGATGCCAGTATGTTGAGGAAGTTGGTTAGAGACCGCAACTGCCGTCCTGTCCTCCGAGGGATTCTGGAGAGTCTCCTGCATTACCTAACACAGGATCTGCCCAAGTGGACAACCAGAAACAGAACCCTGGGGAAGCCAGGGTCGGATGTTGTAGTTGAAACAAACACAAGGAACACAGATTGGACTGATCAGAGAATTGAGGCTTCAGTGAAGGAGATTCAACTTCAAAGAAGTTGCACTATTGTTCCCGAAGAACTTAAAAAGACCCTGGGAAAGACTGCTGAGACAAGTTCCCTGATCCCTGAAAAATGCCGGCCAGATCCACTAAAAAACAGCTTGCCAAGAAGGTATGGAGGAGATCAAAGAGCAGGAGACTTAATATCCCGGCGCCTTACCACATTCCATCTCCTCCAGTCCAAATTCATAAGGACCACCCCCAAACCTCCCATCACGCACCAGAGGGAGGTAGGAACTCTGTCCTCTGGCAGAGGAGTGGGAAGTAATGTGGACCATAGCCAAGACAGGGAGCATGACATGCAGAAGAATGGCCAGACAAGACGAGAACAAGGACTTAAGAAGGGGAGCTGTGTGAAAGATATTGTGGCTAAGTTTACCAAGGCTGAGCTAAAGGAAAAGGGAGAGAAAATGCTGAAGAAACAGCCAACCAAGCCGAGACTCATTGGAAGAGGGATCCTCCTATCTTCCTTGATGGAGAGGTTTGAAACGATGGCCATGGTATGTAAAGGAAGTGACTTGAAATGTTCACATGAAAGGCCTTCTGGAGGAGTCAAGGTGACAAGTAATGTAAAACACAGGGTAGGATGTCATGAAAGACTGCACCAACAGGCGATGGATCAAACTGTTCACAAACAAAACCAATTCAAGCAAATGAAAAGTAAATCTGTTGGACAGCAGTTGAAAGGAAATCAAACCAGAAATGGGCAAGAACAAAGACCCGAGCAATCAGTAGATGTTTTAACAAAAGTAAACTCAAACTTGGAAGAAGAAAATAATTTGAAAGTAGGGCATATGAAGCACATGGGTAACCAACATTCAGCTCAAAAGGCTGAATGTCATGGGTCATTGAAGCATGTAGATCGAGCTTATGATAACGATGTTCAGGGTTATAGGTCAGGCGAAAATGGTGAAATTCAGACTACAACAGAAGAAGCCAGTATCACCAACAAGTTAAAATATGGACGTGTAGAGTTTCTCTGTTTAACATCTGTCACAGAGAGGACACTCCCAGAACAGCACAGGCTTCTCCCACAGGTAGACGCCCAAGTGAACTGGCATATTGCAACTATCATGACCTGCCCTCCTGTGTGGTCCACATGTGTAGATTGCTCCCCTAAACAGTATGCTGTGGTACCACCAGAAAGCTCACACGTGGAAAAAATGCCTAACTTGAAGACAGACGTTCCTCATAGAGCCCGACAACACTCTTACAGAGAATCAAGCACAGGTGAACCTTCCACTACAGTTACTGAAGGGAAACGCACTTTAATGCCCCGAACTGAGAGACTTTCTACCTCTATAGGCTTCGACCCCGTGGAGAACAGAGCAGCGGAAGATCTGAATCTAACCAAAGTTGTGACCATTCAAAGGTTGCCCAAGTACGTCATTCCATGCGTTTACAGATTTGATAATGGACAAGATGTTGATGATCAGACTGATTCCTCCCCTCAGTCAGCACTGCACCCAGAAATTGTAATTCCTTTGGTTGCAATGCCACCACCACACTCTGATACTTCTTTGCCTGCTTTTAACACTGGATCGGTGACAATGGGAATTCAAGACATTAATGCATGTCCTTCTAATAACATGATGGTACAAACCTGCCATAAAATAACAAAAAAGAAACAAACAGAGGGTGAACCAAAAGGAAAAGAAGGGGAGGCTGGGGAGGGAAAAACAGAAGTAACACCAGTGGGCATAAAAGATACTAGTATGCCACAAAGTTTCAGACTTTCTGAAGAGGCTGCCATTAAGGCTGCATTTGAAGACAGCAAGACCTCTGCTGCATCACCGAAGATTCAACCTGAGAGAGACAGTCCACAACAGAGACCAAAGTACACAACAATCAACTATGGGGATCCTTCAGTTAAACAGACATATAAACCCAAAATCATACGATTTACTGACACCTTTACTTTCTAGGTTGGTACTTTTGAACAAACAGTCATGCACAATCTAAACTGTTTCCTTTTCACGGATACTGTGCAGGGAATTTAAATCAGAATTTCTGTTACTCAATGTAACTTCATACATCAGCAACAATACACAGTTACAACAAAACTAAAGCAACAAAACTATAGCAACAAAATGCAGTGGAAGCAGCAAGTAAAAGTGGTGTTTTTCATTAAAAGTATGTACATGTACAGCAAATGAGCATGTGATCATCCAGAAGATTGTACATAATAGAAAAACATTACTTTTCATTTTAAAGGGATTGTATTGTATTAAAAGGAATTCAATGTATTTGCATATAGATTCTTTAAAGGGTTCTACAGGACAATAATAAGAAAAAAAAAACCACGGATAGTCCACTTCAGTGTTTTGTAATGGTGCTGATAACCTCCAAATAACCTACAATGGTTACACTGGCTGGCCAGTGACTCATTGTATCAACATTATCCAACGAAGGTTAAAAAATCAAGGGCAACTGGACTTGGTTGAAGATACTGGAAGACGTTTCGTCCCTCATCCAAAGGACTTCTTCAGTTCTGAAGAAGTCCTTTGGATTCTTCAGTTCTTCAGTTCTGAAGAAGTCCTTTGGATTCTTCAGTTCTTCAGTTCTGAAGAAGTCCTTTGGATGAGGGACGAAACGTCTTCCAGTATCTTCAACCAAGTCCAGTTGCCCTTGATTTTAACCTTCGTTGGATAACTATGACCTGGATGACTGAGAATCTTCATAGACATGTATCAACATTGTCAACACAACAGGCTGCCCAAAGTGTAGCTTAAACAAGTAGTACACAAACATTCATACTGCATAATATGATATGAAGACTGGGTATCAGAAGACTTTAAACAGCTTTACATTTTGAATATGTATTATAATTGAATTCACTATAAATCTGTTAATCCATCCATCTATCCATGCATACACTTTATGCCGCTTATCATGGGCTGGGTCGCAGCGGCAGCAGGCTAAGCATGGAAGTTCCTCTCCTAGCAGCATAGAGGATAAGAGATGCGGGCCTACATGATGTATCATTTGTCAATCCTAAGACTTATCTGATAGGCTGTGGTGATGAGGAGTATTGTGTTGTTATTGGGTGTCTTTATGTGTATGCAGGGCAGAAATGCTTAAATCAAATTTCTAGGAATTTGATTTAGGTATAGCTAACAGGGTTATTTGAGCTTCTATAAATTTGTGAATTTCTGTGTACCTGTATTCCCTTAACAGTGGTTTAAACAACATGCAACTGTCATACACTGAATTATATGGGATATTTGTTTATGGCTTTCTCTATGTGTCACTGTTAGCCTGGGCTGTTCACCAAATAATAAATACAAATTACAGTTATTTCTGGCAGCGTGCTATACTTAACCTGTTTTTTCACTAACAGCATTCCTGTACAACAATTTCCTTTTTTTCCAGCTGCGAAAAAAACAGAAACTACTACAAGAAGGTGTTCAAAGATGGTCACCACAAAAACCCACCTGAGACAGTCCTGCCTGGAACTGGGTGACAGTGATGGGACACAGTGCCAGAGGCTCTGCTCCAGATGCTCTCATAAGCACATAATCAAATTGAAATCTGGTGACTTGATGTAGGTTTGTGTCATTTGATGCTCATTGCCTTTTCCAGTAGCGAGAGAAAAGGTTTTCCACTCTCACTTGTGCAGGACAAGTCATTTTGGTATAGTTAGTATAGCGAAAAATGATTAGCTCATTAAAAGGTTTAACACATCCATCAAATGTTTCTCTAAGGATGTAAAACTGTGCTGAAGCTGAGACAGAAAGAGGTCAGGTAAACTGATAATTTTGAGTGACATATTCATTCATGTTCATCCATTTGTTTTAATTCAGCTTAAGCATTATTATTATTATTATTATTATTATTATTATTATTAGTCATACCTGCAAGGACTGTGGGACACTTGAATCACGCATGCAACAGATATGTTTAAATCCGGGTATATTATTTGCAGGGCCAATGCTGCCCAGCAGAGGCTGTATTTACCTGTGCTACGTGGCTGTGCTGGAGAGGGCGCGGCTTCTACAATGTTTGCTGCCTTAACGGGTTATAGGGCATTCAAACTTTACCATATTCTACTAAACGGTGACCCTAGGAGTTTTATAAATTGCAGATGTGACAGTTAGGCTGTAAGCTGTGTCAACAATTAATATTAATGTGAAATGCTATATGAAAAAACACGCTTTGAAATGCCTATTTTTCTAATTGCAAAGTGCTAAACAAGGGTTGCCTATGTGTTCATCTATAGGAAATACAAATGAAAGTAATCAATGTGTTTTTCCTGAACTTTGTAAAGGCCGTAGTGGGAAAGTTATGTTAGGATTTTTAACAGCTTTAGCAATTCATTAAAAAGGGCGTTTACAAGTACATGCTGGATGAGATGTAACTGCACATACATTATGAACCAAGACAAAACGGAGTTACTTGAACAACTTACTTTGCTTTTCATTCTACCACTGCAGCTGCACTTTTTTGTAACTAAAGCGCCGTGAATGCGGCATAGGTCACATCCCATGGGAGCACTAAAGTAGGATGTTCCGGGAATCACTCGAAAGCAGCCTTAGTGTCTGATTGACGTGTGTGTCCTGGGACAAACGTCACAAGCCTGAAATCGGTCTTGGAGTACTTCGGACAAGAAGAGTGGGAGTGACTTTTTATTTGTATTGCATTAGGTAGCATTCATGTAACTTAGCTACGGGTCAGTCGGATGTACTTCGAGGAGAGAGGGAGCAGCATCAGGTGCATGTGGATGGCGATAAAACTCAACGCATACTCCACTCTCTGCGCACGGCTTGAACGTCGGCAGATAGATAAAATAATTCAAGAATCGAACTAAAACGACTTCTTGGTTGGGGGGAACCGTACGAATGCTTTTCACGGCTTTCCCCTTCCGATAATAGCATGTTAATCCCAGGAAAAAGCAGCGTCTTGTCCCGTCTTTCCGCCCGAGAACATGGAGAAAGTTAAAAGTTGACGCGAACACATCGCTCAAGTTAAACCTTGACCAAGACACCCATGCTTGTTGCATGCTTGTGCGTTGTTTGTGCCTTTTTAATGGAGTAAAACAACACGGTGGATACATGGTGAGACTTTAGCACATATTTCAGGATATCAGAAGAAGCGATGGAAAAGAAGAACAAGGCGATCAATCGGACCCGCTATTCCACCGACGCCAGAGCCAAAGACAGAGTGGACAGGTAATGTTAGCAAACGTAACGTTGACCTTTGACGGTTATCTGAGCCTGCTAAAACGTTTAAAACCATATCTTACCGATTTTGGCTTAAGAGTAGTTGGAGTCACTTACCTGGTGAGTAAGTCCAGAAGCAGCTAATAACTTTAACGTTATTCCTAATTTCGTGGAAATTAAAAGCAGTAACGTTAGCAAACAAACTACTTTAGACCGTAAATCGAGTTGTTAGCTTAACGTACAGCTAACGGCTAACGTTAATTTACTAAGTTAACGTTAATTTACTAAGTTAACGTTAAAGTAAGACGATGTGTAATATAATAGATTACACATCGTCTTACTTTAACAAATCTCGAGAACTGCTGGAGGTTACTCGTAGTTTTTTCTCCCATAAAATTTACTTAAATTAGATTTATTCAATATTATTCTACTGACTATACTCCAGATAGTCAGTCACTGCATTTCATAGGTCTCTTGAATAGATGGTAACGACAGCTAATAATATGCTTCTGTAGGAGTTATGCAGGAGCTGGCTGCTGTTTGTAGTTTTGTTTTGCTCATTAGAAAGTGGATACATTCTTTGTCATATTAATCAACATAACTAATGTTTTTACATTTAAAAAACAATCATGGATCCACACTCTGTTGCCATGTTATTTGGCACACCTAGCTAAAATTAATTCAATTTGATAACTTAGCTTTATTATAAATCCTACAATCAAGAAGGTAGGATAATGTGTAACGTTACCTTTTGTTGAAACTGATGTAATTGGGGCTTTATGATTATTTTGGAGGCTGTAGTTTATGATTCTATTACATCATAGAGGTGTTAATAATATTTTGTACACCCCATTTATATCAAAATCAAAATGATCATAAAGTTGAATTAACACCTCTCTAAAACAGTTTCAACAACAACTGAACATTGTAACCTTCATGAAGACAGGCAGGGCTATTGTATAAGACTATGGATAGGGTGTACCTAATAAACTGGGATTGCACTTAAATAGTGCAACTCATCCACTCTATCCAAAGCATTTTGGCTTTTTTACTTCTTCTTTTTACTCATCTCAGCAGTATATGTTACATGTTTAAATGAGAAGGGGAGCCATTGCACAGTTCAAACAAAAGGTGATAACCCAAACCAACACCTGACATCAGGTGCCACTTTCACAAACTCCACACTGATAGATCTAATGTGTGCCCTTGCTTTTGTTTTGGCAACAAAGTCACTCTGGAAAATAACGTTTGCTTAATGATACCTTTATTTCAGCCAGTATTTTCTGAGCCACACTAGCCTTAAAGCCTGGACTATGTGTGGTAAAGTAGTTAAGTGGTTTCATGCTGTAAAGTCTGTTGGGCTTGAACATGTTCAAAACAGATGTTGTAGCCTGCCACGTTGTTGGTCTGTAGGTGTATTTCTTCTTCAGGGATGACTTTGCTCTTGTGAAAGGTTTAAACTGTAGGGAGATTATCGTGTTACCTAAGGCATTAGGTTGAGCCTCCTACACCCACAACTTTTACATCTAGAACTAGAAGGTGTGTGTGTGTGTGTGTGTGTGTGTGTGTGTGTGTGTGTGTGTATAAACGTGCTAGATATGAAAAATTATATTAATAAAATAAAACCATTTATACTTTATTTTGTGCTTTAATGGCTTTTTTCAATCTATTTATACCTGAAAAAGATGCTTAGTAAGTTGGGAAGACAAGGCATAAATGCTCAAATTTGTTATAAACAGTTTTTTTTATAAAAGATACATTTGTGTTCAACCTTGCCACAAATACAATAAATAACATCATAGTACACAAGTAAAAGCGCAAACACACACCAACATACATACACACAAGTGCACTTGCACAATGCTATGATGTGAATGTGTGGTAATTCTGATCATGATTAAACTTTGTGCTTTTTGGCCCAGTGTGGATCCATATGGCTTTGAGCGCTCAGAGGACTTTGATTATGAGTCATATGAGGAGCTCATGTCTGAGTATCTAGTTGTTCTCACCCGACGATCCATCAAGTGGTCCAAACTTCTGAAGGGCAAAAGCAAGGTGCAGAAAAATGTAAAACGTGAGTGTGAAATCAAAATTCCTCAGTATCCTCGCAGAGTGTGCCATGAATCTGAACTAAACTTAAATGTTGCCCCTCTCCTTCAGTAAAGCGTTATGTACGTAAGGGGATTCCCAATGAGCACCGGGCTCTGATCTGGATGGCAGCCAGTGGGGCTCAAGACCAGCTGGAGAAGAACCCAGGATACTACCAGTCGCTTCTCGGAGCCCAGCACGACCCCAAACTGGTAGAGACCATCTGCACAGGTCAGGCTATGAACATTCACCCACATGCTCACTCAGACCTCCTTAAGACACACCAAGCCAACCTCAAAGAACCAGCCCTAACAAAGAGACTTCTGTTATAAGTTGCACTTGAACTTCTATATAACCCCCTGATCTGGAGAAATAACAGTTTCTACTCTAATGATCATCATTAACATAAAAAATTCAAATTGGCCAATTATTTTCACACCAATGTGAATCTGATTAAAATTCTCATTATGCTATCTGCTTAGAATACAAAAAAAGCACAAAAGGGGCTGTAAAGTTTTGTTGTGCACTGGCATTGTAATAAAAAAAGAGAGACCTTGATGAGTAACAGTACAGATTTTGTTAGAACACCCAGTCAAAGAATTCTTTATCACCGACTGCCTGAGGCTGATTGAATATGCTGATTTGGCCGAACATTTGCTGATTTACGCTGATTACAGTCTGCATGCAACATTCAGCCACACACGGCACAATGATGCCCAACAGTTTGGTGTTCAGCACCTTTAGCCTTGGCATTACAGAATATTTTTTTTGTGTTCTGTTGTTGTTTCCTTGTTTGTAGACTAGGCTAAAGAACACAAGCATATTTGAGCTAGCTGTGTGTGTGGGAAATAGTCAATTGTCCAACAAAACATGCATTGAAAAAGTCTTTCTACCTTTCACCTGTAGTGTTACACTGCCAAAAATCAACATACACACAGGTTATTTCGGTATTCAAGTTTGCATTCAGAGGTAATGGGAATACAAGGCTGATGTGGTTCATAAATACACAGCACTGAACATGAGTGTCTGTGCTGTCTTTTTCTTTCAGACTTGAACAGAACATTTCCAGACAACATCCAGTTCCGCAAGACATCCAACCCGTGTCTGCAAAAACCTCTGTACAGTGTGCTGTTGGCTTATGGTCACCACAATCCAACTGTGGGCTACTGTCAGGTAATGTTACAGAAGATCCAGTCAGAACAGTGTGAGTATATGGGGTATTGTCAAGGGCTTGCAGTATGATCTGGTGTTGGTAACATTGGTTAGAAAAACAATGTGGCATTTCACATTGTTTCATTATTGTGCTGCAAAGCTGAAATTTCCAGTTATTGGTGTGGTTTATGGGACAAAAATATGCAAAACTGACTTGAATATGTACTTTAATATTTATTAGCCATATATGGTTGGTGGCAGCATATACTGTGTATCCAGTATCTAGCTGGTCATCATACTGTGGATAGTTTTAAATTAGTGCCTGTACAATTATTCAACATTTATTTGTCCAAAGAAAGGCTGTTTGTAGGTCTGTGTAAATTGTTAACATTTGAAAGGCAAATTTCATTCGTCAGACCATATGCACCATTGATTTGCAATTCAAACAGGCAGCAAGGCTGTATTGCAACTAGAACCCATCCATCAGTAATCATACTCAGGTAGCCTGTTTGTCCCTTACTGGTCTCTCCCCTAGCTGATTTATTAAAGAGAGTCTTTAATAAAGTCTTTAATAAAACCTGCTCAGGCAGGATCGCAAGATTCATGCGTAACCTGAGCGTGTCTCTCTTTTGTCTTCAGGGGATGAACTTCATAGCTGGGTATCTACTTATCATCACGAAAGATGAAGAGAAATCTTTCTGGCTGATGGATGCACTACTTGGTAGAATTCTACCAGGTGTGTGTGTGTGTGTGTGTGTGTGTGTGTGTGTGTGTACATTCATTTGCAAAGGTTCTGGTCTCAAGACAGGTGTATGTGTGCGAAGGTGTGTTTCTGGGCTAAGAATAATCCTGTAGGAGGTCACATGGTCTTTATCTGTGGCTTAAGACCTAGAGTATGTTTTCATTTGTATCTTGCCCTCCCTCAGAGTATGTCAATACAAATTAGAAAAAAACTTGGGAGCAGCACTTGTGACAGGAGTGATGTTTTGTGTTAGACAATACATAGGCAATTTAATTTAAGTGAGTTTAATTTGAACAGTTTTCCATTGAAGCGGTTTGTCCAGCTTGTATTACAAAGTGGATTAGTTTATATCTCTTTGCTGTTAATTGTGTGTGTGTTACAGACTACTACAGCCCAGCCATGCTGGGGCTGAAGACGGACCAGGAGGTGTTAGGGGAGCTGGTGAAAGTTAAATTCCCCGGAGTCTGGCAGACAATGGTGGATCATAATGTTATGTGGACCCTGGTGGTCTCCCGGTGGTTCATCTGTCTCTACATAGATGTCTTGCCAGTGGAGGTGAGTGTGCCTGTGTGGGTGTTTCATAGTGAGGCCGGTAGGGAAGTCCTGCCATTGTCACTGCAATTTATTTGTTTTAACTTGTATCCTGAGACAAAATTTCTTTATTCAAAAGAAAGCTTGATAACAGTCACAGACAAATTCTGGTCATTCGCATTCAGGGTTTTATACAATATACAGGTGCTGGTCATATAATTAGAATATCATCAAAAAGTTCATTTATTTCAGTAATTCCATTCAAAAAGTGAAACTTGGATATTATATCCATTCATTACACACAGACTGACATATTTCAAATGTTTATTTCATTTAATTGTGATGATTAAAACTGACAGCTAATGAAAATCCCAAATTCAGTATCTCCGAAAATTAGTATTAGTAAAATTAATATTATTTAAGACCAATACAAAAAAAGGACTTTTAGAAATGTTGGCCAACTGAAAAGAATGAACATTAGAAGTATGAGCATGTACTTAGTTGGGGCTCCTTTTGCCTGAATTACTGCAGCAATGCGGCGTGGCATGGAGTCGATCAGTCTGTGGCACTGCTCAGGTGTTATGAGAGCCCAGGTTGCTCTGATAGTGGCCTTCAGCTCTTCTGCATTGTTGGGTCTGGTGTATCGCATCTTCTTCTTCACAATACCCCATAGATTTTCTATAGGGTTAAGGTCAGGCGAGTTTGCTGGCCAATTAAGAACAGGGATAGCATGGTCCTTAAACCAGGTACTGGTAGCTTTGGCACTGTGTGCAGGTGCCAAGTCCTGTTGGAAAATGAAATCTGCATCTCCATAAAGTTGGTCAGCAGCAGGAAGCATGAAGTGCTCTAAAACTTCCTGGTAGACGGCTGCGTTGACCTCGGACCTCAGAAAAAACAGTGGACCAACACGAGCAGATGACATGGCATCCCAAACCATCACTGACTATGGAAACTTTACACTGGACTTCAAGCAACATGGATTCTGTGCCTCTCCTCTCTTCCACCAGACTCTGGGACCTTGATCTCCAAAGGAAATGCAAAATTTACTTTCATCAGAGAAAATAACTTTGGACCACTCAGCAGCAGTCCAGTCCTTTTTGTCTTTAGCCCAGGCGAGACGCTTCTGATGCTGTGTCTTGTTCAAGAGTGGCTTGACACAAGGAATGCGACAGCTGAAACCCATGTCTTGCATACGTCTGTGCGTGGTGGTTCTTGAAGAACTGACTCCAGCTGCAGTCCACTCTTTGTGAATCTCCCCCACATTTTTGAATGGGTTTTGTTTCACAATCCTCTCCAGGGTGCGGTTATCCCTATTGCTTGTACACTTTTTTCTACCACATCTTTTCCTTCCCTTCGCCTCTCTATTAATGTGCTTGGACACAGAGTTCTGTGAACAGCCAGCCTCTTTAGCAATGACCTTTTGTGTCTTGCCCTCTTTGTGCAAAGTGTCAATGGTCGTCTTTTGGACAGCTGTCAAGTCAGCAGTCTTCCCCATGATTGTGAAGCCTACAGAACTAGATTGAGAGACCATTTAAAGGCCTTTGCATGTGTTTTGAGTTAATTAGCTGATTAGAGTGCGGCACCAGGTGTCTTCAATATTGAACCTTTTCACAATATTCTAATTTTCTGAGATACTGATTTTGGGGTTTTCATTAGTTGTCAGTTATAATCATCAAAATTAAAAGGAATGAACACTTGAATTATATCAGTCTGTGTGGAATGAATGTATACATTATACAAGTTTTACTTTTTGAATGGAATTACTGAAATAAATCCACTTTTTGATTATATTCTAATTATATGACCAGCACCTGTATATGAGACAGCAAAGTATTTCTAAACATTAATGTTTTGTTGTTAAAAATGTGCTTATAATCTCTCAAACAATAAAAGTCAAAGCATACCATTCACTGTCCTACACAAACACTGTTTACTAAATCCAATCTGATAAAAATTCTAAACAATTGCTTTTTATTCCTTCCTTTTTATTCCAATTTGGATTGGCCAACACACCACGTACAACAATCCTTGCTGTTGGCCTGGGGAGGGGCGTTGTTTGTTCTCCAAAAACACATGGAGCTTCACTAGGAGGGCTTTAACACTAACACGGGTTCATGCTATTCCTTTGAGATTTCCGCTCCTCCATATGAGAACAACACCTGAGTTACAAATTTCAAAATTTAATGCAAGGGATCAGGAAAGTAAAATAAGTCAATCTTGATTTAACTCTGTTTACTTTTTCTGAACCCTCCAACTTTACAGTGGAAAAAGCATTGTGTTTTTGGTGGAATAGAAACACAGAAAGTCATTAAAATATATGTGCAACAACCCCATGATGACCTACTATATAGTATGTCTGCACTTGCCTGCACCAGCGGGTAGCACTTGGATGTGAGTCTTTAGACAACATACTACAGCCTAGGGCTGTGCAATAAATCAAATCTTTTTTTCTTTTCAATTATGAATTTTGCTTCCAGTGATTATGAAAACAAGACTATTGAGATAACGATTTTTGCGCTGCATCCTGTTCAGCAATTATGCTCTGGTTTTGTCTTATCAGAAATCCAGCGCACCCTTGTCCTTTACAGCGGTGGCTCGTCACCATTATTATCCTGAGCTTTCGGCACATTACCGCACTTACCGCATAAATTAGCCTAGCAGCTCACAGTTTAACAAACTACACCATTTATGCTTTTCTTAATCACCATTGGTTCAAGTAACAGCATCCTGCTCCATCCTGAGTTGCACTTACCTGCTGTTTGTTCAAACTGCTGGTTACACTTCATATCGTGCATCACTACGCAATGTGTTCTCTGGTGGGATTTACTTCGGTGTTGCTGTTTTTCCGCAGACAGTTCTGCGGATTTGGGATTGCCTGTTCTACGAGGGCTCTAAAATCCTGTTCCGTGTAGCACTGACACTGATCCACCACAACCAGGCTCTGATTCAACAGGCCCAGTCACTGCCAGACGTCTGCCAAAACTTCAAGCAGATCACCCACGGACCATTTGTTGATGAATGTCACACTTTCATGCAGGTAAAAGAAGAGGGATCCCATCACTGCTCGTTATCCATTGTCAATTCACTGGAGGAAAGATCAAGAACAATAAAAAAAATATCCCTTGTTACATGCTACCTTTAATCCTGGTGTTTCTTGCCTTTTCCTAGAAAATCTTTGCTGAACCAGGAAGTCTCTCCAGGGCAACCTTGACTAAGCTGCGGGCGGCATGTCGATCACGCATCATTGCAGAAGAATCCTGAACCAAGAGTATCTGTTCAAACTCATTACACATTCCACTGGGATGAGCGCTCACACAGCTCGTTAGCATCTGTATTTTTATTTTTTAAATATATATGGTTTAATGAGAAAATTTAATTTTGCTAAAATGTAGAATTATGCACTTTACTCAAAGTCAGAGACACTGTAGAGGGGGAAATGAAGCTTGGCAATAAATGGCCAGGTCAGAGAAATGACGTGTAAGCACAGCCAAGAGGAACGTGTCTAATGTAATTCACATTGAATGGTAAATGATGACAAAATCCATGCTGGCACTACCTGCTGTGGTAATCGAATGTGAATCATACTGATTTTGTGACATATTTCAAACACCAATTCATGTACTTTTTGGTTGATTTCATCAAATGTCATAGTTCTTGACCTCAACCATTAATTCAAGTGCACTATGATGAAATGTTGGTACAATTGAAAGGGCTGCTTTCTTTTTCAAACAAAGGTCTGTCCAGTTTGTTCTGTGTTTGGGTTTTGTGGACCTTTTCATACTCTCATAGTAGTGATATCAGATTTTGTTGCACTGTACAAAAATAGCCTTGGCGTTGATCCCAGCTCTGAGTATTCTGTGTAATGTACACCTAGGTGAGCAGCTCAGAGTAAACAGCCATGTTTATTTCACACAAAACAAGGTAAAACAAATCATAAAGCTACTGTTGCAAGGATTATATATATATATATATACATAAATAAAAAATCTGCACCGGATTTAAGATTTTTATTAACTTTCATTAAGATGCATAATAGAAAATGGTTTGATCGCATTTTCTATAAAAAAAAAAAAATAAGATCAAAGCACACTACAATTCATCTTAAAATTTCTTTAAAGAGGGCAGGGGAAAGCAAGACCAGAAACTGAATCCATGCACCTGTTTGCTTGTTGTTATACGTTTTAGTAATGCACAGTTGCACGATGTATAGCCGGACCACTTCACACTTTTTACATAAAGCAACAATCTGCCTTTTTATCATCACAAGACTGTGACAATCACTGAACTTTAATTAGTTGAATTAAACTTTGCCTCAGTGCACCATTGGGACAATTCAGGCTTTTAGCTGTGGAGGAATATGATTGGAAGAGAGACACACTCAGAGCTTTCCCTTTTCTCAGCATCGCTGAGATTATCTTGTGCTCAGGAAATTAAACAAAATGTGAATAATAATAAAACTCCTACTTCAAATGTTTTTACTTGCAATGACATTTTTTAACCAACAGTGGACAAGCCATTGGAACTTAAAAAAAACTCTGTCCTACAATTTATTTGACCTTCTGTCTCATTAATTGCATGGAATATTAAAAACAACACACAGCAGTTCAAGCAAATTCATCCAGTTCTTAGAAATTAATGAAAAGGACTAAAGACAAACAGCTAACATGAACTTGCCACAGTAAATTCAAACTGCCTCCATCCTTGATTGAGTGAAGACTCATGAATTCCTTAAATCTTCGTCAAGACGCGCACCATGTAATGTAAAGCAGATCTTTGGCTTCTTATCATCATCATCATCATCTCACAAAGGAAGTATAAGGAAAATCAAATATCCAGGAGGTCACATACGATATGCAAAAACATGCACTCGCCACAGAGTAACAACTGCTTCCATTCAGTCATGCTCGAGTCCACAATCTAGCATTTGCTCACTCACACCCTCGGGTTCATCTCCCCACCATTCAGTCTCTCAGGCTCAAGTTAAATGAAGGGGTTCATTCAGATGGTCTGATAGCCAGCATGGCTCCTCTTCCTGCCTATTAGATACGCAATGAGGACGATCAGCACCAGTCCGGCAAGAGCTGCTCCAACAATGATGGGAATGAGCATCTGGTCTTGGTCCACTTGACACTCTTCCGCTGGAGACAGAAAAGAGAAATTTGGATCTTCTGTGCAGTAGCTCTCTTTAAATTTGTGCCTGATGAAACCATAATTTATAATGGCTGACCAGTTTTAGCACTTTAGCACTCAATGCCCTATCAAAGTGCAAAAATGGCGACATATGAAGTAGCTTGACGCAACTAAATAAGTTGTTTAAACTTGAATTACAGTAGTAGCAGCATTTAAAAGAATAGCTTGATATTAGGAAAAGTGATCATTCACTTCCTTGCCAGAGAATTAGATGAGAAGCAGCATGCCGCTCTTATGCCAGCAGGCGATTAGCTTACCATAGCATAAAGACTTGAAGAAGGGGGAAACAGCTAACCTTGCTCTCTCCAAAGTTAAGAAATATGCCTACCAGCACCTCTAAATCTCAGTTATTAACACAAGGTATCTTGATCGTTTTGAAAGTGAAAAAGTGAAGTGAAAAAAATAAAAGCTGTGCTTTTATGGGGAATTGTCACACAGAAAATGACAAACTATACCTTTAAATCTGCATATTTCTTCAACCAATATGAAAAATGTGAATTGTGGAAGTCTACTGCAGCTCCTGTGAAGTCTCATTACTTATTAGACTTATTGTTCTAATTATTTCTTTATTATTATTAGATTGCTCTCCCATTCCACAGAGCACTATCTTGACTATCAACATTGAGGTCTAAGGACAAAAATAAAGAACATAAAGATAAGGAAAAAGTAGATAACAGCAGGGATGATAAAAGAAAGCATTAGTACCTGTAGCAAACTGGTTGGTGGTGACTTCAAATGGTTGGACCTGCAGTCTGAATGTGTTGAGGGAGAAGGCTGGCACCACGACCAGAGTTTGCTCAGCGTTGCACATGTAGGAGCGGCCCAGCGTGCCCCGCAGGTAGTTCAGACTGGTGTTGCTGGCTGAGAAGGGAGCTGTGGGGAGAGATGGGTCGGTGATTCTTTGAATGAAGGAAATCACAGCCAAGAAAGAAGTACAAATGACGTACCAGTCATATCAGACCAATTAGCAAGCAGAGTTATCCCACTCAGGTGGTACTTGTTGCTCGTGGAGTTCTATAGGCGGAAGGACATGGGTTGAATAAACACTTGTATCCACACTGACAAAGATACAAAAACTGACTCAAGGAGGTGAGATCTTACCAGACTGAAGGTGAAGTTGAGCGTGGTTGTTCGCCCCTGTGTCAAAACCAAGGTAGCACTGCTGGCTTCACATGATCCTGATGAAGTTGTCAGATTGGGAGTGAGGTTTACTAATTCTTGGACAGTCTGACAAAGTAGACAAAGATACATTTTATTTGACGTTTGTTACACACAATAGACCTTTTTTGTTGTGCTTACTTGTAAAGCTCTCATTTTTTTACCTTATTCTGAGACAGAGAGAAATATGAGACGTTGAGCTGCAGTCCCATTTGGGCCAGGAGACACGCAGTTCCGTTGCTGTTGTTTACAGTGTACGTGCCTCGTTCAGGTGTTCCTGGAGGGGTTGGTGCTGGAGCTGCGGTTGTAGTTGTACCGGCAGTGGTAGGTGGAGCTGTAGTACTGGCCTGATCTGCCATACATTCGCTTTCTGTAACAAGAGGAATTATAAAAAAAGAACTAAATCAACCACAAAGAAGTAGGTCACAAATAACTTAGAAACCCACCCACTCAGGTAAAGAAAATACAAACAACAACACACAGAGTCGTACCTGTTGGACTCAGGTCATTTCCTGGCATGTACGCCTCAAGCCTCATGTTAGAGAAAGTGACGTTTGCTCCACCAACTCCAAAAGTGGCGGAGCTCACACAGCGGTAGGTGGTGTTGATCGTTGCCCAGATCCCAACTGACGACGACACCACAGTGACCACATCTAGGACGAAATCAAACAAATTATTTATAAATCCATAATAAAAGTACATGTGGAATATGAACCCATGTGTTCTTCACTGTATGTTTACTAGAAAGTCTGACGTGTTCAGATTTACTTATATCAGATTAAATGCTGTAATGAAATATTTTACTTTACATATTTAGATCTAGAGTGAATGTAATTGTCTATGCAAGCATTTAACCACACTTAACAACAGACTACTTCTCCTCTGTGCTGGACAGTTTGCTGCGGTATTTGTTCTCACCAGAGCTGTTGGCCTCAGGGAAGACCGAAGCGTCGCTGAGGTTGTACTGCAGTGTCAGGTTAGCGACACTGTACATACTTCCATTGGTTGAAAAGCTCAGCCCCAACGCGTGGCCAGGTCCAAACACCGCCACCAGCCAGGGTGCTCTACCGACTGTGCCACATGAGCTGCTGCCTTTATCGACTGTAGCAGAGTCGGGCAGAGGGACCTGAGCTTTTCTCTGAGGAAAGACAGGTGATCCAGTCAATTAAATCAATATCAGTGCTTTCAGAGATGGAAACCATTTGTTGTCACTGTACATACTGTGCTGTTGGAGGTGTTGTATGTGATGGAGATTGATGCAGAAAGCTCAGCCTTAATGCAGGTGGAGTTCCCCTCATTCACCTCAAGAGTAACCGCCTGAATGCAACCTGTAGAGGAGAACATAATGAGCAGGGAGGCACAATAGTGAAAAACAGTCAAATAAAAGTAAACACTTTAACTGAAAATATACCGGAAAAATACTAAAATAACTGTCTTTCTCCCATACAAATATACAACAGGGTAATTACTCTTGAGTGTTAATTTGTGTGTCAAAGCTCACATTACTAAAAACATTCCACAGTGATTGACAACACATTTTTATGTGCTGCACAGTACTAATTATTAATACACAATATGACCTGATGATGAGTTAGACGACTGCTACTACAGTTCAGTTTGCCAGTAACCAACTTCACTTTATTGATATACACACACACACACTTGTATATTGAATAAGTATTCATTATCTGCATCTTATATCTTGCTGTTTCACTAATTACATTTGAACATTGTCCATTGTACAGCAGGTTAAGTAAGTAAATTGTCAAATTCCATTTTCATTTTAACATGGTAAAAGAATGCTGATACAAGCATGTGAAAATGAATAGGATTATTGCGCTTTCATTTTTAATCAAATAACAAGGCAGTTTATAATGCTTTTGTTGAATTAGGCTACATTTTCATTTAGTCCTCTATATTATCTTGCCCTTGTGTTTTTTTTATTTAACCTGCCTAGTTAAGGTCACAAAATGAGAATACATTATGTCAGTGAGAATTATTACAACATAACCACTGTTACACGATGCCATGTCCTACATACACTATAAAGCAGTTTACACAAGCCACCACCAGAGGTCTGCAGACAGCTAAAAGTGAGACATCAAGACCACAAACACCCCCCCTCTCTTTGCTGACAAAATTATAGAGCTGCTGCTCCACTCCGGACTTATAAAAGGTGTTAACATTGTAGTGGATTTGTTCATTTTTATATCAAATAAATTTGCAGACCCCAAATTCTTTCTCTCTCCCTGAGAGAAAGAGGGGGGGGGGGTTGAGATATCAACCCTCAACAGACAGCTGAAGAGACTCCAAAGGAGAGGGGTGAAAGGTTTGCTTTCCCTAAGTGCTATTTTTGGGCAGTTCGATCGTAAAACTTGCCACCTCTGGTGAAGCTGAGATAAGACTCGGTGCCTGACTGTTAAAATTACAAGTTCTAACACTAACCAGGAATTAACTTTCTCCTGAACAGCCTATCAGCCCTCTTTTTGAAAGAGGGCAGGAAACTCTAAACTGCCCCCCACACGTAACCACAGCAACTGACCTTCCTCTTTGTTTAATTACCTCACATCAAAGGATATTCTCCTCTTCACGCCCAGACGTGAAACTCCAGACGCCGGAGAAAGGACAGTCCACATTCCTTTGTGTGAACAAAGGAATACTGTCTCCTCAAAACGCATTACCTTGTTTAATTAAATAATCTTTGTTAAATTACTAAACAGGTCTCTTCACTCCATTAGAGTAGTTATATTACTGTGTTGTTGCTATTGAAAAGAAGAATCCATATAAGTTACTTAGCAGTGTTTTAATTTTCAGCAATGATTCCTGACATTCGTTTAAGTGTTAACTTTCGTTTTAACTAATGCTTTATTTCCAGCTCCTTCTTACCTCTTATACTTAGAAATTATATATATCGAAATGTTATCCTGTGTTAAATAATTAATTCCCCCAGCTCCTGAGCAAATGATTGTTTAAAGAAATAATCGTTTGCCATCTTCAGTCTCCTCATGAAACCAGAGTTCCCCCAAGAGGACAAAATAAGTATTACATGCCATCGTTCTGAAATGCCGTTTTTAATGTACAATTGTCACTCTGTATTTATCCGTTTGTAATCTGATGCCATGTTCGTGTAACTTGCTTATATTCTCCAAGTAAGAATGTGTAACAGCCAATATGACCCAGGAAGCTAGTTAAATTCCTTTCATTTGATGTGATTCCTATGAAATGCTAACCTTTTAAGGTTTAACTACTGACAATTGTTTTCCTTTTTATCAAATGCTTAAAACTAAGAACGGTATAACCGTTTGACAATTAAGGTTTGATTGTGGGAAGATATTTGATTACAATACGCGCAAATAGGTAGAATAGACATATTAAAAGTTAAAAGACAATCTCTCAGGAAACCGGAAACAAGCCTTCTGGGGAACAAGGACTTCACGCCCCAACAAACAAAAGCAGCAACACGCGCTCGCTCGCTCTCTTCTCTCTTGCTCGCTCTTCCCTTGGACTTCGGCACGCGTTCAGCTTGCTCCGTCTCCCAGCAACACCCTAAGAAGTCCAGCCCGGCTTGCCGCGAAAATTCCTTTGTCCTTTTCAAGCCACACACGCAAAGCGCCGCGACCTCGGCTTTTCCCTCGTTTCCAGCAACTTACTTGCTTTTTATTTTTTTGTTTTGTTTGTTAAAAGTTAGCAGACCGTTAAGTCACACAATTTTAATTCAAGAACGACAAAGTTCTTTTAAGCTTTGTTCCATCGAGTTAACTTGCACTGCTCCCACCAGTGCCTAACTGCCAGGCCGAGGACGGTCGCCACTGGAGTGTTTTTCTTCTCGCAGCCACGGAGAACCCCCGGAAAATTCCTTAGCAGAAAAGACAGGAATACCCGTGCAACATGCCTAAAGTGCAATTCATACTTCCGCGCCAAATCGACGGCGTAGGTGATGGCGTAGCCTACTGGGCTACGCAGAGGCTACGCCATCGCCTGACGTGCACCTCCTCAAAAATGTAACTACACGTCGAGTCCACGCGGACCGTAAGCTCTGTGATTGGTCGGCTGGGTAGCCACGCAATGCCTCCGAGCCGACTGGAAGTACCGCGCGCTTTGAAGTAACATTTACTAGCGGCCAAAACGGCGTCTGACACACAATGAATCAATATATTTGACCGTCGCAACCCAAGCGAAATGACTCGTTCCGCTGTCAGAATGTGATCCATTCGGTCTGTAACATTTGAAGGCTACACCAGCCGCACGTTTACAATTTTACCCCCATTTATGTTCTGTGGAGGGCTAAACCAGAAGTTAGCCTGCTCGGCCAGCAAAAGTCAACACAGAATGACGGACACACCTACGCACAAGTATAAACGCATGCCTACACAGGAGTATAAATGGGCCTTAAGGCAAGCCGACAACACCCTAAACCAAGGCATTCTGTGGACAGTTTTGTCCAATAGTCTGTTAATCCATTATCTTTAATCTTTAAAACTCCTAGACAAATTTAACCGAGTTAGTATCATCTAACTGCTTTCATTAGTTCTCTTTCTCCATATGAATCAAATTCTTCCCACAATAGAAGTCCACATTCTCATTGTTTGCCCCATGTTTGTTTAGCCATTGTTTATTTCTTTGATGTATATTTAACCGCATTTATTTCACCTAAGTTATCTAATAAATTTCACCGTAATCACAGGAATTGTATGTGCGTATTGTTTAACTCCAAGTCCCTGTCACGGAGGACTTATGCCCGTTCGATATGAGATTGACTGATTGATTTAAGGTAATTGAGCGATTATTAACTAACTCAAATTACTAGTGAATAATTGTGTAATTATTAAAACATTACTCAGGGGTTGGGAGACCCTGAGCGAACTGAATCTCCGGTGGTGCCCTTTTTTTCGAGGAATTATGAGTTATTATTTCTAAATATTAATTTCATAAGTTTATTAAAAATCATACGTAGACCTGCTACAACATCTCCTGAGCGGTCTGTACCATACCAAGTGTGGCTCCTATAAAAAGAATTACAAATTAGCATTTGCCAACCTGGCAACATTCACACTTGCATTATGGGCTATTAATACCTTCATGACCTGGAAACTCACCACTGCGTGTCCATATGTGTTTGTTAGTGGCTGTAAATCTCAAACAAATCAGAATCAGAATCCACTTTATTGCCAGGTATGTGTACACATACGAGGAATTCGACTCAGGATTGTACATTGCTCACGATGTGCTTACTTGTACAAAAATACCATAACAAAATAATACAATAATGATAAAATAAAATCAGACACAAACTACAGTATAGACAACACTAACATACACACTATGAACAAAACAGTATAGACATATTGACAAATAGTGCAGTGATCAGAGTGCAAAGGATGCAAGAATAAACCATTATTCTCATTATGTACATGTTGAAGGTGAATATGATATACAGGTACACATACATGTACACAGTGTGATGGAGCATAGTGCAAAGGATGCTGGAAATAATAAATAAGACCTATGACCTTATGACCTGAGGTAGGTGTATTGGTATACAGTATATACAATATGGCATGGTATGAACATAGTATGAACAGCACTGAATTTGAGAATGGTGAAGAAATAAATAATAAGTGGAAACCAGTAAACAGGCGGCTGATTAGAGACAGAGTTACTGGGTTATTGCACAGGAATTGTTCCTGACACTGTGAGTCAGAAATCAGCTGTTCATCAGAGTGATTGTTCGGAAGCTACAGTGGCTATTCAGGATGTACTTATCAACCCTACAACTCATATCCTTAAAAAAAAAAAAAAAAAAAAAAAAAATACCCTTTCTCACTCATTCATTGTCCAGTAATGCAATACAGGAGTTTCACCACTTGCTTCACACTTCCCAGAATGTCTACAAAGACAGTGAAGCAGTATGGCTAAAATGTGGCCATTTTATGACTGTGACTATTCCTCTTTGGTGAACTTTCCGACTACCAGACATGGATTTTTATTTACTGTACTGTAGGTTAATAGATTGAATTTATTTATTTTGTTCAGTCAGACTTAAGTTATAAACAGGCATGTGATTGCCAAAGGGCAAAAAAGCAGGAAAATATACTGAGACCCCCCCACACCCTGATAAAACTGGCGGCGGCAAAAAAAAGGAAAAGGTAGGTGGGCGTATGCGTGAGACGACAACGGCCGCAATAGTTTCATGGGATCGCGCCAGTTACACAGAAGCCGTTGCCACGGTTACCTCGCGAAGCACTTGTTTGCCTGTCTATTGATGAGGAACGCAGAGTGACCCCACAGATCAAAGCCGTCTGAAAAGGCCTTATAAACCCTGTCACAACCATTCACAAGAAATTATTTTATAACTTGCCAAAACCTTTAACATAAGGACATAAAGACTTAAAAAGCAACCATTCATACAACAAAGTGTATATAGGCTATATGATTGATCAATCAACAACAAAGTCAAAGTAAACATTAGACATAGCCTATAACAAGCAATAATCAAATCATACCCAATTTATCCGATGCTTATTGTCAACTCAGTGTTGGGCAAGTTACTCAGAAATAATATAGCAATTACCTAGTTACTTAGCATATAGGTTACTCCTTAAAAAAGTGATATTAGCTACTCTAGCCTACTTATTACTGGGTACTGGGTGATAACGCCACACTCTCCCGATGAGTCCAAGCATCACTGGCAGAAGCGGCCGGAGTTTCTTTCTGAGTTTCACGTTGCTGTTTTGCTTTAACCGATGCTTCAATTAGCCTAAGTCAATGTAGAAAGCGACTGTGGTACACACTGCGCAGGTGTGGAATGGGCAGCTGAAAGCAAATGAACATCCTTGTTGATACTTGGAAAGGAAGAAAACTTTACATAGGTCAGCCAGTAGATGTCCTCAAATCCTTCTGCAAACAGATCTGCGCGATTCATGTGGGTCCGATTTTCAGGTCGGAAAATCCGGATTAATACAGAAAAATCACATCCCTGTATAAAGGAATAATTATTATACTCATCAGGGGAAAATTATTATTCTGTCCACCAATGCTGGAAGGTTTCAAAATTCACTAGACACTATAAATATTTTACTCCTAAGAAGGATTTTTGGAATTTAAAAAGATGCTCAAAATAGTAGCTGGCTACCTTCTTACAGTGCAGACAGAGATTTGTTTCGCATTTGGCCTGTGGGCAGTGTTAGTTGCTATTACCAATTTCATAACTCAATTACACTGAGCTTTTGCCACTTTCACATCCCTCTCCTTTCTCAAGCCCTCTCTTTCCCTTCAACTTGACCATTCTCAATTAATATAATCTACTGATCCTAATGGAGAGAGCATTGCGCTCCAGTCATGTGCCGGTCTCTGTCAATCACACACTTCCTCCCCTGCTGTCTTGCTGAAACTTGACCTGATGTCACTTCTCTGTCCACCCTGTAAACACACAGTAGACGGTTTACACAACACTGCAATGTGATCATGAGGTAAAAGCAAAAGCGGCTGTGTGTGCAATGTATCAAGTTGGAGAAAGCAGCGTTAGACTTTCGGGTGTGAAGAGAATAACCAAACAGAAAAGTATCTCACATTGCCACATTACAAGTCCTCAGCATGTTGCAGAGTGGAAAACAAAACTGAACACCAAGTTAGTGCTTACTTACAAAAAACTACAGGCACACAGTAATATATATTAGAATGAGCAAAATGGTAAATAAAACCAACATACTACCAACTACTCGAGCTATATTGGCTTGTTTTCCTGTGTCAGCAGCCGGGTACGTGTGTGTGGTGTGTGTTCAGGACGATTAAACTGATCATAAACTAACACTGTCAGTAGGCCTCTACTGGGCTGTGTACAACACAAAGCCATCACAGCAGTCACATGAAGCTCTCAAATGACACAACAATGAGGCCAATCTGCTGGTCCACAACATTAACAAAACCTAGGCATTACATCAGAATAGAGTAGAATAGAATAAAGTCCAGGGACTTCTCTGGTAAGTCTGTTCTGTTTTGACACAAACTACCCGAGGACTATGAAAGCCTAAAGGTGACTCTATTAAAATGATCATTTAAACCTGAAATTGAAAATGTAATTCCACAATAGCATAATACTTTTCCACATTGAAAATGCAATAATCCAATTTGCATTTGAATTTTCACAGCCTTGTATGGCAGTTCTATGACCATATTAAAATGAAAATGAAAAAATAGACAATATTCAAATGTTAATTCAGATATGAAAATACAATATAAACAATGGAACCTGACTTTCCATTTATGCAAGCAATATTCAAGTAAGGATGAAAATGAAAGTGAATCTGTTAGTCCTCTCATCAAGACAGTTCTTCAGGTAGGATGGATGTCACTTCCAAATTGCATTTTCAATTTGACAATTTGAAATCAGGTTACAATGTTTCATTTTAATTTTCAAATTTTAATTAACATGTGAATTCTGTCCATTGTACAGTGTTTTAACGTTACCACTTTGAAAAACAAAACGTTGAACAGTTTTTCCAATAGAAGATTAATATGGCCATAGAATGCCCATATGAGGATGTGAAAATGAAAATTGGAATTGTAAATTGGATATGTTAATTTAACATGTTAATTTTCCCTACAGTCTTCTATAGAGGACAGCTGACCATTGTATTGGATTTTTGGAGTTTTCAAAGTCCATGTGAAACCTTTAAAGTCTGTGGGTTCAACAACACTGATCCACGGTTTGGTCAAACTTAGTTACTATATAATTATATATTATATTCATTCGTATATTAAGTCAAGCCATGAATCAATATAAAATAACTAATTTCTACATCCTATGCAGGTGGATCAACATGTTACATTAACGTCTCATCTCACATAAATAATAGCTTAACTATAGCTAATATGTAGCTACATAACACCCAAGTACACAAGAGTAAACAGCTAGATTTAGACACACTTGGCTGTAAGTAACGATTATTTTCATTGTCAATTAATCTGCCGATTTTTTTTTTCAAATAGTAGATTAATTAATTGGTCTAACATATACAATGTCAGAAAATAAATACGTTAACTTACTTGTTTCAGCTAAACAAGGAAAACCTAAAGCTAACGCGACTAGCCAACGGCAGGTTGTCGTGACGTCGTTTGGTCTAACGGGCAGCGGCAGGACGAGTAGCTTTAAACCGAGAAACACTCACCAAAAACCGCAAACCAGGCGATGATAAGCGCGGCCAAAGCGTGAGAGAGTTTCATCCTTCTGTTGAGATTACACTGCGGGGCAGTGACTTTTCAGTTCCCGTAGAGGAAAGAGAAGGGGGAAAAGGTGGTGTTGTGTCGCTGCAGGCACAGGTGGGTCACGGCGCACTGCAAACTGCACTTGACTTCACGGACCGTTAACGTTAGCTAAATCCGACGCGTCACTCTTTTTCTTCCTGTTGTTTAGGTTCCTCCGCTGCCAGAAGATAACATAAAGGAGTTATTGGGAAATCCTAAAGCACATCCAGCTGGTGAAAACGGTCAGTGAACGCAGTTATAGATGTCGGTCGCAACCACACTGACTGACTAAGCCATGTCTCATCACGTGAACTGGTAGCATTTAGAGCTCTCTAGTCACGTGAGCCCGCCCCTCTTTCTCTCACTAGGACTGAGCTCTTTTCAAGCCAGCTGTCTGCTCCAAACAAAATGGCACAAATATGCACAGCTGAGTATGAGACAACAGTTTTGTCCAGTGTAACTGCATGAGAAAATGTTTGTCGATAAATGTCACTTATCACAGGCTTAAATACGTTTAATGTAGAGTATATCGTACCAACAAGGTGTAAAAAAAAAGAAAAAAAAAAAAGAAAGAAAAAAAGTGTACTTCCAGGAATAATAGCATTTTTTCACACGAGTGACATGCCAACACTAGTTATTTAGTAAGTAATTAAAATGTAATGAGCACTGTGGAACAACAGCAAATGCAGGGATACATTTACTTCGGTTCGTGTGCCTTCTCTTCCTAACACTTATCACTCAAATTCATATTTAATATCATGTAATTCTAGATTCAATAGTTGCCTGCTAAAACAGTGAACATGAATGAGCCCACTAACTAACGCACACTTGAACACAACATTCCTGAAAGAATTTAAATACATGTGTAGTAGTATGCAGTATGCATGCAATTTATATGGTTAGGCATTTGAAATGTATGATCTGAGGACATTATAATTTACTATAAGAGTAGGTAGCATGTGAGTCTACACACACCCTGTGCTGTGTTGCACGGCAGGCTGCAAAGTGCATGTGTTGTGGGTAGTCAGCTGACACCTTCATCAATTCACGAGGGGGTGCGAAAGCCTAGAAGGAACGCAGAGGCTGCTTTAAAGCTGCTGTCCAAGACTTATGAGGGCACTGCTACATTCTCCCTGTATAGTTCAACCACACTTTTTAACAAAGGACATGCCAATGTAATGTCAGACAACTAGCTCTTGTTAACATATTTGTTTAAGATCTATTTCTTAATCATACAAAAGCTGTACATTCCCCGCTTGTGACAGTGGAAGTATGAAGAAGCAACCCTTTCGTTTTCAGTTACATCTTCCAGGAACTTGAGACATGAAAATCCCAAATGACTCATTTACATTAAAGTTATGTCTACGGTTTACTGAAAATAACCTTTAAATCTGAAATCATTTTCATCATAGCACAAAATCAATTGTATGGAAAGACAATAATCCACTTCCATAATGTATCATTTGGGGCACGAGTAATACAAAGTGGAAAAGGATGACAATGCTGTGATGTGTAACAGACTTTGTGGTTGAAGTAATGTTCATCTGTTGATTCCACTACTGTTAACTTGTTTTTGTTTTTATTGATTCATTTAATGAAATCAGAGTGGACTGGAGGAGTTGCATACTATTAGCATGAGAAACTATGTAGCATGCTTAAGCTGAGAGGCAACAGGACAGAAGTGTTAAAAAAATAAATTAAATAAAACTACCCCTAGTTGGTTATCTACAAATCATTCATTGAATCATTAAATATCCATTTATTCAGGTTCACTTTTCTCACTCTTACATAGAATACAATCTGATCTACAAAAACATCAGCACATGACATTGGACATTTGGACATTTTGGTCAAAACATATAAGGTACTCAAAAGAAATACCCAAGTGGCTTGCCTGCATGTCATTTATCTTTTGCGTTACAAGCAATGAACTCTCCCTCCGACCCAAACAAGTCTGACCCACATCCTTTTCAAGTCTCTTGTCCTAAACAGCCGTTTCTCTGCCAAATCAAGCATCCAACCAATCATGTTTACACTCAGCGGTTTCCGCAGCCATTCGCAAGGAAAACGCCTTGAACAAAAAAATAAAACAAAAATCTTAAAACTCAAGACAACAAACTATAGTAGAAAATAAGTGATTTTAGAACGACGTGATGAAGAAAAAAAAATCCAAATCCCGAGGAGGAAAAAAAAACAAAAACAGAGGAAAGTGCGAGTTATTTTCAGTTGAGTTTTGCATTAGCAGATTCGTAAGTCACATAAACAAACCATCAACAACCAGGTCACTCCTCCAGCACCATCCCACTAAAGATAACGCAGAGCGGGAACAGTACAGCCAAGTCTCTTTCGTCTCTCTGGAGCTCTGAGTGATCTGGATGTTGCACCCAGGATCGTGGATGGAGGGAAAGATGGGCACCAGAGGAGAGTCAGGTGGCTGAAGGGCCGTAATGCTGTTTTTTTGGGGGGGCCAGCTGTACGCTTGCTGTGAGGAAAGCATGGCTGTAACAGCAGTATCCCTTCAGGCAACATAGTGGTACTGGTTAGGAGTCTCCTTGTCACGTTCCATGTAGTCTCTGTCTATGAGCGACTCAATCCGCTTCTTCAGATCGCCTGGCTGTGGAAAGGAAAGCAAGTCAGATGCTGATGAGCTTTGTGTGTGTGTTGGGAGAAATATTCAAAATAATATGAATGAGAATCCTAAGATAGTTCACCTTGACAGGGAACTTTAGCTGGTTGTAGAGCTCTGATACCAGGAGGTTGTGACTGAGGGTCTTCCTCATCTTCATGATGCGCACCACAGCTGCATCAATCTGATACTGCCTGTCTTGAAACACACGCTCTGTGGTGCTTACCTGCTCCTCTACCTGTGAAACAAAAATGTGTTTAACAAATGGGTGAGGACAATCCTTTTGCTCAGGAAAACATGTGTAAGTAGTAAGTAAAAAAACATCAAAATAGGAGGAGAAGCAGTGTGTGAAAAAGGTACATTTGCTAGTATTCTTACAGTTTCCTTCATTTGGATCTGGTTGATCTTGATGCGGAACAGTTTGTGTTTAAAATCATTGTTGAAATTGAAACGGTCGCCATCCTCCACGTCTTTCCCTCGAGGGTTCTTGTTGAGAACACGCGCTTTTCCGCAGGCCAGGGACTGCAGTGTACGCTTGAGCTCTCCTTCCTCTGTGCAGGACAAGAGAGAATGATACTGTAATACAACTATGCCTCTCCCACAACAGAGTAGTTGAACTGCATGTTTAAAGACGTGTAACCTATGCCAGTGGCAGCTTGAATCTCCTCGATGCTGAATTCCTCTCCCTCATTAAACATCAGCAGCACCAGCGTCTGGAACAGAGAGACCTGCAGCTCCTTCTTACCCTGCAGGATAAAATAGTAATTTTAAGTGCAGTTCAGACGTTTTTTTCAAGCCAATTTGTCGTCCTTTCCCTCTGCCCTGTTAAAATAATCCCATGCCCTTACCTCTTTAAACTCTGCCTTTAGTACAGCGTGGCCCAGCGTGGGCTGCCACTGCAGTTTCCTTCCACTGTGCTTCCCCAGGTAGAACAGCTTGAACACCTCCTGGAGTTTTACCATCTACCAAAACAAACAACAAGAGATGAAGTATGTACCAAGATTGTCCTTAACACAGCCAAATTTAGAGAATATCAGTAGGATGACACAATCAGTCAATCAAAGTCTTTTTTCTCAACAAACTTGCTATAAATCAGCACACTATATGCACAATAAATAAATTAATAAATAGAAATAGTTTAAATGAATTGTCTGATGCTCAAGTTGTGCTTTACCCACAAAAATAAATATTTATTTGTCAAGTGTATTTGTCAGAAGTACCAAAGCATAGTGTGCACAAAGAACAGCAAACAGAGATATGCTTACCTCTGGGGGCAAGTGGACCTCCATGGGTGTGTATGAAGGCCAGTAGCCCATAGTGAGGATGTTCACAGTAAGTTCTATGTTGCTTGGCTCACTCTGGTTCTGTATATACTAAGTAGAAATCACAGTACTTTTACAATTCAATGACACAGTACAGAGGGATGCATATACATACTGGAAACATGGCATCAATATTTTAAAAGGTACACATGTATGTTTTTTTAAGTGTGTCTATGTGCAAGTACCTGTTTGAACTGGATCATTATGTCTTTGGACAGTTCCATGTCCTTGAACATCCCCTCAAGCTTACTGGTAAATGCTGCACCACATTCTGGAGGAAGTCAAGACCACACAATATCACAAGTGACTTGTTTTAACAACTCACACCACCACATATGCACCCATGACAGACTGTGATGTCTTTATACATTAGTGCTTCATCTGCTGCATTGATGCAGAGATCTCTTCTATACTGTGCAGTGAAAGGCAAGATCAAAGGGAAACTGAAGAATTTTCTCCACATTTTAGGCAAAAATCACATCAAGAACATAATGTGATTATGTTGTACATGGAACATGAAACATGAAACTGTATACCTCTTAAAATCATATATCAGGTTGCGCCTCTCAAATCGAGTCTTATCATAGTCGATTTTCTAAAATTATCAAAAACTTTAAAAAAAAAACATATTATTGGTGTGGCTGCATTGGAGCTTGGTGTCATCAGTGTGCATGTGTGTGAATGTGTAAATAGAGGCAAATTGTTAAGTACTGTGGATGAAAGTACATTGTTTGTAAATGCAGTATAAAAGACAATGGACTCACCATGTTTGAGCTTGGAGAGCATGGACTTTTCAGCATCAACAGAGGCACTCTTGCCGACCAGCAGACGCTTGGCCAAGTCTTTCTTATAGAAAGCTTCAAATACATCTTTTCCTGGAGGGACAAAACAGATCAAAGAGGTCTTATCAGAGTGTAACAAGCTTCATTAGTAGTTAGTCACACTATTTAAAGCAAACACACACACACACACACACAACTGACCGTGTATGAAACGGAAGATTATCATTATCTTGTCCAGGATTCTCTCCAGCTCCTCCTCTGTTGCCTCCTTGTTCCCTGCTCTTAACTTGGAATCCACATATTTAGCTGGATAGAAAGCAATGGCCAAAAAAAGCTGTTAACACATGGTAGAACTAATAAAAACCATAATAATATGTGCTGTGGAAATATATTAATGAGTACAAAGACAATGTTTTGTACTTTAACAAAGTTGTTAAAAACTGGTAGGACTTAAGAAGAAAATGTATCAACGGGCATGGCATGCCATTCATTTCTCTGACCCACCAATAAGTTCAGCAGGTTTGTTGGGCCTCTTATTGATAAAAGTCTCAAAGGCCTCCTTCATGGCGTTGATGAATCCCTCATTCCG